TGCGATAAAACAACCCTAAGGCCCTCGGTGGGCCAAAAAATCACGAAAAACCGAGACTTACCGGCGACGGAGCTCTCGGGTGCGACGACTTCTCCGGCGCGAGTCGCGATTTGATGTTTTGCTCCAGTCAACCTGTAGAGAAAAGGACGGTGATCACAGTGGTGTAAAAATTGCATCGAACGGGAACTGGAAAGGGTCTCATCGGAGGCAAAAACCGAGAGAAGCCGCGGCAGCCCCGCTGGACTTCGGCAGTGTTTTTCGGCCGATTGGCCGGTGGTTTGGCTCCGATTTGGCCATAGGCGGATTCAGCATCGAAAAACAAGCCAAGAGGAGAAAATTTACTTCGTTTGGCGGTCGGAAAACCCTCTAGTGCGGCGGTGGGTGGCGGCGGCTGGCTCCTCTGGCGACTAGTTCTTCTTCTCCGGCGAGAGTACTGGCGGCTAGGGTTTGGGGTCGGGTGTGGGTGAGGTTATTTATAACATTCCCCTTTTAATCTCAGCTGTCCATCACGATTTAATCTGTACCATCCGATCGCAATTAAAATATGAATAAATATGAATCGTCCATCGCGATGCGATCTGGGCCGTTCGTGCGCGTGAAATCTGGGCCGTCCGCACTAGTGAGATATGAACCATTCGATCGCGTGCACGCGGATCGCTCACGTGGCTCATTTCCGCATGGTCTCCCACGTTAGCTTCCTTGCCACGCGACGTGTTCTGGTTGGCCGGGGCTGCTGACTGGGAACAACTTTCCTAAGTTGCGTTTTGATCCACGGTTTCCGATTTTCTTTTCAAAAACACCCATAAAATCCAAATTTTCACTCATTTTTCCCAAAATCAATTTCAATTAAATCCAAAAAATAATTTTACCCTATTTTATCATTATTAATATTTTTATTTTTATTAAATTAAATTAAAACCTTATAATTTAAATATTAAAAAATTAAAATAAAATTCTAATATAAATTAAAATAAATTAAAAAATTAAAATAATAAAATTTGGGTGTTACATGTATAATAACGCATAAAAAATATATAACATTATTATATGACATGTTAATACTACGTGATTACTTACATGACATTGACTTACTGTTATATTTATAAATATTTAAAAATTATAAATATCAAAATACTTTTAAAAAGAAAACAAATAAAATATACAAATTTAAATAAACAAATGTAAATAGTACAAAAGTGTACTACCATTTAAGTTTTATTAAAATTGTATACCATTATACATCGTTGTATTGCATAATATATTTCTTATTAATAATTTGTTCGATAATATCTACGAATAACCATATACGACAAACATTAAATAAATAAGTATTACTCGTGTATGAAATATTTTAATAAACTTTATAACATAATAATGCAAAAAAAAAATTCGTTTTGTTTAGGTTATTAAATTTAGCAAAATCAAAATAATTGATACAAATAAACTACTATCTTCAAGTAGTAATATAATATAAATATTAATATAATGATTAATAATACTGTAATTTTTTAACGTTATAAGTAATATATATTTTAAAATTATTTTATGATATAAACTTAAATACATTTTATCAGACCACTAATATTATAACGGCCCCATAAATTAAAAGAAAATGTATATATATTTATTCTAAGTGCGGAAGTGAAATAAAATAGATTATGATTAACATCTCTTACACAATAACAAAAACGAATTAAAGTATGAAAGAATAAACTAACTTAAATGAAATACTATGAATGAATGCTATAAGAAAAACTAATAAATTCTTTGGCTTCTACTCGTCGTCCTCCTGTAGAACGGGCTCGGGAACCAAGACCTCATGATATGAAATTGTTAAGTAAGGAATTAGCTACACTAGCATAGTAAAGACATCACACTATCTCACTGTCACATAAGTAAATATTGGTAGAAAACAAAAACGACCAATTGAGCATAATTTATAACAAACTCATTAATCAATAATAAAACCATTTACTGTCTACCTATCTCGGTGAGATTCATGAAAATAATTATGAAAACAATTACATCATAAATATCATAAGATCACGCACACTCTGCAACATAACACATATCATGCTTTTGTATCTCAATCATAAGGCAACAATTTTCATATTTTATCAGCCTACTAGTATCCATGAGGATCCATAGGGGGTCCCCGCTACACATAAATCATTCACATTAATAACTTAATTCCAAGGCCGTCCCCATACCCCGTCCAGTATGGGCGCAAAAACCATAAACCTCAATACCCCGTCCGGTATGAGGGTGAAATGGGCCGTCTCCATACCCCGTCCGGTATGGGCGCCAAAACTCATAAGGTCTCCATACCCCGTCCGATATGAGAGACCACGTTTCCGATAGGGTTCCCTATGGATCCGGTCCGTCCACCATCTCCCAGGATATCTAGTTAGGCTGTTGACATTATCAATTATCAATTCACATACCTTTTTTTTATTTTTCTTAATCTCAATTATCCAATCAAACACAAACACGTAAACTAGTAATGGACACCAAGTAAGGCAACACAATATCGGGTTCACAATAATTCAAAGTATAATAAATGAAATCGTGATTCATGCATACGAAATCATAGAATAAACGCATCAGGCACCATACTGCATTCAAAACTGCAAAATAAATCAAACAACACCTGACTGAAAATATATTAGATTCGGGCTCTATTGGCAACCTTAATCAATTATACATATCTATTAATTCATAAAATACCGTTTTATCATTTATTAGACTTTAATGCCATGATAGGAAATAGAGTGAGAGATCTTTACTTATTTCGGAGTCTGAAATCGGGTTCTCACTACGCCTATGGGCAGTCTCTAGATTTCCTGAATTTTTTTTTCGGAAACTAAAACACACTTCCGGTACCTGCACATGTCCCAAAAAAATCCCAAATAAGACCTAGGGCCCTTTCGGCCAATTTTGAAATTCTGGCACGGCGGCTCTGCCGTGCTCCGGCGACGGCACCACCGCCCATGGCGGCGATCCACCTCGGGTTGGCTATTTTCAGCCGAATTCGGCCAAATTTGCATTGGTTTCTATGATAAAACAACCCTATGGCCCTCGGTGGGCCAAAAAAATTCCAGAAAATCGAGACTTACAGGTGGCGAAGCTCTTGGGTACAACGGCTCCTCCAGTGCGAGTTGTGATTCGGTATTTTGCTCCGGTCAACTTGTAGAGAAAATGATGGTAGTCACAGTGGTATAAAAATTACATCGAACGGGAAACGGGAAGGGCCTCATCGGAGGCAAAAACTGAGAAAACTCGCGGTGGCGCTGCCGAATTTTGATGGTGTTTTTCGGCCAATCGGTTGGTGGTTTGGCTCCGATTTGGCCACAGGGAGGTTCGACATCGAAAAACGAGCAAATGGGAGAAATTTTACATCGTTTGGCGGCTGAAGAATCCTCCATGCGGCGGCGGGTGGTGGCGGCGGGTTCCTCCGGTGGCTGGGTCGTCTTCTAGGGCGAGGGTTTTGGCAAATAGGGTTTGGGGTTGGGTGTGGATGCGATTATTTATAACCCTTCCCTTTTAATATTGGCCGTCCGATCGCGATTAAATTAGAAATAAATCTGAACCGTCCATCGCGATGCGATCTGGATCGTCCGTACGTGATCAAATCTGGACTATCCGCTCGCGTGAGATCTGGGCCATCCACGCGCGCCTTTGATCTAGGTCATTCGTACGCACGGGAATGGATCTGGGCCTTCCGATCGCGCACACGCGGATCGGCCTCGTTTCTCTGTCCCGCGTGTCTTCCTGCGTCAGCATCCCTGCCACGTGGCGTGTCCTGGTTGGCCGGGGCTGCTGACCAGGCTGCTGTCGTGGCTGCTGACATGACACTATTTCTCTAAATTGCGTTTTGACCTCCCAGTTTTCGATTTTCATTTAAAAAATGCCCATAAAATCCAAAATTTCACCAATTTTCTCCAAAATCAATTTCAATTAAATTTCAAAAATAATTTTACCCTATTTTATTCTTATTATTATTATTTTTATTTCTATTAAATTAAATTAAAAACTTATAAATTAAATATTAAAATAGAATAAAATTAAACAAAAATTTCAATAAAAACTAAAATAAATTAAAAAATAAAAAATATAATAAAATACAAATTTTAGGTGTTACAAATATGGTCACAAATTAATCAATAAACAAATATAGCATTTTAAAAAATCATTAAAACATTATAAACAAATTTAATAAACCAATTAGAGAATCTCAAAATGATATAAATTAGTACTATTTCAATAACATAATTGGTAAGTGTTATGCTCATTATATCCCAAAGGATTTACAAAAATTTGCTTGTCCAATCTTCATACTCTCCATTCAAATAAAACATTATAGTAAAAAAATATCTTTAATAATATGAATAATTCTCAACAATTATGGTGAATTTACAAAAAAAAAAAATAAACAAAAGATATCGTAAATTATGTTTTATGAAACAATAAATTTACTCTTCCAATTTATATCATGCTTTAAATCACTATTAATTTTCATAAATAAGGAAATAAGAATTAATCATTTTTAAAATTATTTTTTTAAAAATGTGACTTAATATGATAATATTAAATCTAAAAACATATATGTATATTTAAAAAAAATATAAAATGAAGTATTTATTATTCTGATTCGCATTTATGTTTTAAATCATTATTAGGTTTTTTAAATAATTTACATATACCAAGAAAATATGAATTAATTATATATTACATTAATTATAAAAATAATTAATTTATTTAATAATCTAACTTAATGCGGAAACACTGAGACAAACAAAGTTATGTGTATATACATATATATATATAAGATATAAAAGCATCTTCAACGCGTGCATAGAGATTTGAACTAATGGATTGAAAGATCCGGCCCAATAATATTTGATGTGCGATTAGAACCTAAAGTCATCTGCCTCCCCCGACTCTGCAAATCACGAATGCCAGCAATCGAAACCCAGAACAATTCAACAAATAACTTTTGTTGTTTCTATTTGCTCGCATTCGTAATTCGGTTTCCCCTCTGTTTTTGTATTCCTTTCTCTGTTGCCGTTGTTGTTGGTAAAGAGAAACCCTAGCGTTGCAGGTTTAGCTTACAAGTAGCAACCTAACCCTAGCTGTGATGCCCTTGTAATTGCCACTAACAAGAGATAAGGAGAGATATAATAAACTCACCAGTGGTACCAGTGAAACCCTAGGATATCATATTGTCACTGCATTTTGTCCTAAGCAACTGCAAGTATAGGTATTTTTACCGCCTTTTTAATTTTCCTGTTTCAATTTTGATTCTCTCGCGAGTGGAGCAGAATACATGCATGCAGATGCTAGCGGTGCTTTCATTTTTGTTATGAATTTAGAATCATAATTACTGTTTGGAGTGAGTGAAAGGCACCTCCTGCTGCTATTGCATTGCATTGCATTTCATGTGATATATAAGTCTATGCTTTTGTAATTTCTTGCAGAAGTGGTTATGGTAGTGGTTATTTTGTGCCTGTGAGCTCGGAAAGGAAACAAGGGAGGGTTAGTTTTCACATAGCGATACAGTAATTTTAATTAAAATAAACAAATGTGAAAAAGAAGGTTGAAAGAAGAGAAAGATGAGTAGACTATCGTTTAGGCCTCGGCCTCTAGACATACACAAGAAGCTTCCAATTGTAAAGTCAGTAAAAGATTTTGAAGACGACGAGACTCCTACTTCTACCACCCGCAATTCTCAGTTGCTGCGTGTTGTTACTGCCGAGGTTGACAATGAGGTGCCATTTTCTCTTTATCTTGACAGGTGTTTGTGAAGTTATCTTTTTCATGGGTTCATGTCTTAATGAATGTTTGAGGCAATCGTTCATTTTTGCGCTAACACTTCTTATGAACCAAGATGAGAGACAGTAACATTTTGACTTATCAGGTACATCAAATCCCCGGCAAGAAAGTGGCCCCTGAAATTCCAACGCCCGAGTTTGTTATTGTAGATACATATGAAAGAGACTATTCCCGGACTTTCACTCAACCCACTTCGTATTTACGTGCAAGGGGAGGTTCGTGTAAGCAAAAACTATTCATAAATTTATACTCATTGCATTCTTCAGGCTTTTGGCAAAACAATTTAGCTTGGTGAAACTCTGTTAATCATTTCAGCCCGGGCTGAGCTTGGAGAGTTTGTTGAGTATGACCTGGACAATGAAGATGAGGATTGGATTCGAGAACTAAACAAAGATAAGAAGATTCTTTCACCCGAAAAGTAAGGGTATCTATCATGATTAGAAAATATAGTTACATTTTTCAGTTCTTTTAATGTGCTTGGTATTCTTTCTTTGTTTCGTTCTAGTTGACCAATAAAGAAGTACAGTTTTTTGGTTCTGCAAAATTGGTAATCGAACTGAATGTGCTTGTTTAACATTGAAAAATATTGTTTAGGGAATGGTTATCTCACTATTTAGGAATATGCTGGAAGTATCTGTTAACTCTGCAAAATTGGTACAATTTGAGTAATCAAACTGCCTTTTTTTGGTTCTGCAAAATTGGTAATCAAACTGAATGTCTTATTCGACATTGAAAAATATCCTTTGGGGAATGGTTATCTCACTATTTAGGAATATGTTGGAAGTATCTGTTAGCTCTTTGAGCAAATGGAGAAGTTCCTGATGATGGTGTCTCCTATGATTTTATTTTTTTGGTTGAAGATGTTTTGCTATTCTGTTTCCCCTCATGCACCAAAATTAGCCTTCTACTGGGATGACATATTTCTTTTCCTATCCTCTTGGTAGCCAAGGTAAAGAGTTCCATTCTCTCTCCTTCAGATTGTTTCACATTTGCTTGTAAATTAGTTTCTTTTAATGCTGGAAGGCCACTAATGATAAAGAGAAAGGGTGTATGCTTGCAAGAATATATTGTGGTATTCAGAGACTAACACCATTAGAATGCAACTAAATGTCAGTTTCAGAACCTCTTTGACAATAGTCTTTTATATTTTGGGATATTTTGCTAGCACTTTCTTCTTTAATAATTGTAATCTTTTAGTGTTCTTTATCAATTCAGGTTTGAGAGCATTATTTTTAAGCTGGAGGTTTTGGATCATAAGACACGGGAAAGAGCTGGAGTTATAACACCAACTATTGGTTCCCCAATTCCTGTGCTCCTGCAACATGATGCTGCTATTGAGGTGAATTTTTTTTCGATAGTACAGATGCCTATCAATTTCAATGCTAGCGGTCTTTGTCTCTAACTTTTTGCATTCAATAGCCATAAATAGGTATGCAATTGGCTTTTCATAGATGTTAGATTGGTTATTCTTGTTAAATTTTTTTAGCAAAACATGAACTCTTAGTTTTTTTTTAAAATTTTTTTCCTGTTTAATTTAGTCTTTTTATTATAATTATTGAATATTAATGTAGAGAAACTTGGGTTTGACCGTAATTTTTTCTCGGCTAATATAGAATTAGAGGAAATTTGGGTTAAAGAAAAGAAAATAGGAGAAAAGCACAGAAGATACAGTGAACGAAGGAGAAGAAATGTACGGAAATAGATAGCATGCATAAGTTAGAAGAACAAGAAGTGGAGAAGAGTTTTCGGTTATTGCTTGTCTGTGTTCGGCCATGTTTATGGGGCATACAGTGGTCTGAAGGATGCTTCATTGACAGCTTTTATTGTGAGCCTGAGCCTTGGCTTTCCAAGCTAAGATGCTTTTGGGGTTTGTCACTCTTGAGGAGGAGGATAAGGCTTGGAATAAAAGAGCATTTACTGAGGTAGAGATCTATGCAGCTCTTTCAACTATGACATTGTTTCAAAGAAATTAGCCTACAGGGAAAGAGACATTTTGCATATGTTCGAGCCATATGTTGGAGCCATTTCAACTCAACTCATGCTTGATATAAGAGTTTAGACCTTGGAATCATTGGGGTTGTACACATGTAAGCCTTTCTTTGGAGACATCAGCCAAAATCCAATTGTTATATAATTCTTTTTTACCAAGATTGTTTGGAAAGCTCAAGTAGCGTCGAAGATAAAGGTGTTTGCGTGGAATGCTATTCTTTGAAGGCTCAACACTAATGATGTATTGCAAGTTCATGGGCCAAATTCTGTTTTTGTCTCCAGATATTTGTATAATGTGCTGGGGGTGCTTGTAAGTGATACATACCTTACACTTTTTATTTAAAAAAAACCCAAAACCGTTCAGACTCAAATTTCATCTTCCACCAAACCAACCATCACCTAATTAATGCTCATAAGTTCGTAAGTA